TAATGAATAGTGAAGTAAAAAGTGGTACTGGTTGGTATTAGGGTATTAGCTGTGAATAGATGTCATACAAAATCATCTAAAAGACGGAAGGAAATCAGTATTCCAGTTTAAAAAAGCATTCCACATGAAACATACAAATAAATAAATAAATATATTTTAATTACTCTTGAGTAATATCACAAAAGGCTCTTTTCATTTACATTAGAATTTGTTTTCCGGCGGAAACAAGCATGCTTTTGTAATTAATGCAAAGTTATTAAAACCAATAAACTTCAATAAATATAAAATGCTTGTATGATAAAACGGCGGTATGGTAGGAAAGCTAGTACTTTTTAAAATTCTTTATCAGCTTTCGATAGGTGTCGTGATACTAAAAAAGGGACTCCATTTTGATTTTACCATTCAGTCGAGCTGCTCCTTTTCATTCGAAATGTTTAACTGTGAAATCTTATAATTCACGAATACAACAAACAAACAAATAAATAAGCAAGAAACGAGAAAGGAAAAAAAATGCTTAGTTCAAAGAAACAAAACATATATTAGAAAATAGAAACAAACCAAAAAACGATGTTTGAAGGAACATTGTATTTGGTTACACAAATAGATAAATGTATGCATGTGTGTTATGACATTATATTGAATTATATTGACGGTTATAAGAATTATATATGTACGGTACAATTGTTATTGTTTTGCAAAGTTGAGAAGCCCCTTATATGGACATTTACCCTAGCTTATATGATGATATGGTATGACATCAAAGACATATTCTATCCTGAGGTAGTATAATAGATTGATATAAATCCATTGCCAGCTGCGCGTCGTCACGTGATCTTTATTATCCAGTAACTAGAACTTTCTTCTCTTATTATTCTTGCAAGCTGTTGGGCGAACGCTGCTTTCTTATAACATAGAGTTAACCCAGAGCTACGGATTTCTCGAGAGAAAATATCTCAAATATTTCAAATGCAATATATATAACAAAGATTTGAAATACGATTTTCTTCGTGAATTTTGTTAACCATTTATATCCTTCATGGCCTCTATATATCGCGTTCACAACTTTGTTGTCGTTTGCTTCTTGTTTCTTCTACATTCAAAAGGTTAGTTTGCCGTCATGAATATCTAGTCATTTACTACAGATTTTGCTTCATTTTTACCAACTGGATTTTTGATCAAACTTTTGAATCTTGAAAATATATAGAGGGAGCAGGACTCTCTTGGGGGAGTCAACCAACCTCGGCTACCGGGATTCAAGGCAAAAGTGTCAAAATCACCTGGACTGTTAATCTAAATGGAGGTGAAGCATGGGGRARTGTTAAAGTGAACCAGGTAGTAGGTGGCTTTAAAGAAGCGATGATATTGTATGACAAGRCAAATAGGAGAGCTGTTTATCCTGATTATGCAAGTCGAGATGCGGATCTGAATCTAACTGCTTCTCTCACCGG